AATAAACTTTAGTTGTGTATCAGCTGAACTTCAGGTACAACTATGTTTTTGCACCTGATTTCTAAAGCAGTTGTACACCAGCAAATCCCTGCAGTAGCTAAAGTGAACAGTGTGCTTTTGGAGTTAGTGTTCAGCTAAAACGGGCCTACACTACAGGCAATCTAAAGGCCCAGATCCCATCGTCCATCTGCTGGTTTACCACAAATTCTACCCCACCTGCAACCTTTTCCAGCCTGTGTCATGGTGGGGGGCAATCAGGAGCATAATGTGAAAAGATACTGCTTGGGAAAGGAGACAGCACTAGGGATATGGCACAAGTAAGAAGAATCAAGGTCTGGATGTGGGTTTGAGAACTCTGGAGGTGAGAGCACCCAGAGTTCACCTCGGTGCAGGGCAGGCCGCAGAGGGCAGCACCACCCTGCGGGTTGACGGTGCAGTTACCCGAACACAGCACGGGACTGCAGAGCTGCCCAGATGAGTATTTCTTATTGTATTTTTACGCCAGAAGACACACACGATCAGAACACGCAGCACCCCGCACGTACATAACTTGCTACAGCTTGATTTCGAGGCGCCCGACAGGAAGCGCCCCCACGCCTCCATGCCCCCGCGGGCCGTGCCCGGCTCGGGAAGGCCGTGCTCGTGCCAGACCGGAGCGGGACATCCTCGCGGCCACACTGTTCGGGAGGCGAAAAGGAGCTGCAGGCGCGGTGGGACAAAACAAGCTTGGCAGCGGTGGGATTCGAACCCACGCCATCGAAATGACTGGAGCCTAAATCCAGCGCCTTAGACCACTCGGCCACGCTACCGCCTGGCTGCTCAGGCGCCCGCCAGGCCTCTTTCAGGGGGCGGCGCCGGCGCTCTCCCCACCCACCGGTGCACACCGCCCACCTGTGCCCGCGGTACCGCAACGGCCCCCGGCGCAACCGGCCGGGGCGCCCCGTGGCCGGGAAGCGCAGCCCCGCGAGAGGGCGCGGACTCCCCGCTCTGCGGAGGAGGCTCCAAGCCCGGGCTGCCGGGGGCACCGCCACCCCTCATGGCCCGCCCCAGGCCCCGCCCCCGCCCCACTCCATGCGGCCGACAGGTGGCGCCGCTGCCGCACTCCCGGCGCAGGCTGTACACGTGACCCGGGCGGCGGCTGCGTGGGGCGGCTGGATTGTGGCTAGCTCGGTGCCCGGCTACCCCCGGCGCTATCCTGTGCTGTACGGGGCCGTTGGGCCGCACCTCACCCGCGTTGTCCGTGGCAGGCACAGGCCGGCCACAGCGCCTCGGCAAAGCGCTGCCCCGTGGCCTGTTTCCACAGCAGCGCTGGCGGAGCGCCAGCTTGTCCTCACGACGGCTTTGCCCCGCGGCGCAGACCTGTCGCCCCATGGGTGGCCGTGCCGTGGCCAGGCAGGGGCGAGGGCAGCCCCTTACCGTTACCACAAGAGTGGGTCTGCACACAGCTCCTTGGCAGGAAGAGGGTCCAACCACACCCAGCCCCACAAACAGGAGACCCCCTGCCTTCTTCCCCAGCTTCTCTCAGTGGGTACTGTAGTCTCGTGGCCCGCTGCCGCCCTGGCACTACAGCGTGCCGTCAGCTGAATCATTCCCACCCAAAAGGGGACGGCCCTTTGGGGTGCGGCTCAGCATGGTGCTGCAGAGGCCAGTAGTAAACGCGGCTGTGGTCAGGGCTGCTCACACGCAGCTCTCCGTCCTGCCGTGTTGGTGCAATGCCTGCCCGCTGCTGCTGAGCTCACCACGGTGTAAGTAGGGGCTTGTCCTGTGAAGGAGCTGGGTTTGGCAACCAGAGCCAGATTCAAGCTGCCCCTGGTGAGTAGAAAGATGAATACCTTTATTCTGGAAGGCCTGCAGGAGGAATCTGTGTAATTACCGTGGACAGAGCTAAAAAACATCAGGGCTAAATGTTGTGCGATTACAATAATCCATAGAAATTATGTCTGCCATTGCTTTTCTTCCCATTGGAAGTCTGCACTGGTGCTCCAGGAAGTTCTATGCAGGTATATTGTATGCACCTACCACAGTGGGCTTTGCAGATAATGAAATTTGCCGTGTAAGAAGGGACTGTCACAGAAGTATGTAGGCACAAATTGTCAGATAATTAGTTGATTTACAGGCAATTTTTCATCTGGATTTTCAATGGAAGTTCAGTGTTGTCAGGGGCATGCTTTCCTCTTTCCTTTCAAAACCAACAGTTCCCTAGGACAACAATTTCTAAACAGAACCTCATTTAACACAAGCATACTGGAACTTTGCAAGCTTCAGTGCTCTTGGAAAATACATATATGCATTGCTGAGCATACTAAACAAAAGAATGACATACTGCACTTGCAGGTCACCAATTTCCTAAGTTGCCATTTATTTTTCAGTTTTTCAGTCAAAAAATAACAGTGACTCAAACTCAAGCATTAAGGATATGATAAGTAACATCTAAACAGGAAACTAAAACTGGAAGATGCAGTGCATCTGGCCTCACATCTAATTTCAGTATTAGATGCTTTCAATATTAGATCATTCTAATATTAGATGAAACCTTTAGTATTTCATCCAACACTGTTTCATCATCACTGATTGTTCTTTTAAGAAAATGTTATAGATAAACCCCAGGCTTAAACTTGAAAATGAGTACACCCTTACATCAGTGTGCCAAAGCTGGCTTATTTAAAAGTATGAGAAGTATGTAGCTTGAGATGGTATAACCTATGTTCCTAATGTAGCAGAGCCCTCCCCATGAGGAAATACAGCATGATACAGTCATCCTCTTAATCCAAAACAGTGCTGTGTGTTTGCATGAGTTTAAAGCCAGTTTCTCTCGTGACTATTCAGTTGTGCTCATGTATCACATGTACTCCACCGTTAATCAGTAACCTAAGATGGTGATGTTACTTTTTAACCATTATCAACACATTTTCATGCAGTGGGAACCAGGCATCTGGCTTCCACCAGGACTTCAGAATTCATTTGTTGAGCCTGCCCTCTTCCCAGGCCCTGGGGTGCTGCTTTTCCCAGGGTGCTCAGCTGGGCTGCCTGCAGAATGGAAAATGGAGAGACTCATATCCTGGTGCTGATGGGGCAAAAGCACTTAGTTTTCAATAGCTGCTAATAATCCACAAACATTGTAATTGTGTTTAATTGGAGCTTAAACTCTGCAGGAATTTCAGGCTACCCAGAAGTGTCCCTGTGGGAGGGGGCATTAAATGAGGGTTTAGTCCTGTCTCTGCTTTACATTCACACGAGGGCTTGCACCCTCGGCACAGTGCTGGGAATTGCTGCCAGAATTGCAGGCAGCATTCCTGTGCAGACATGCTGCTCCCTCCAGTCCCCCAGCTAAGATGATTTATCTATCTAAGCAATGGTGGTAGAAGGCGGGTGTTGCTGGCAGAGACTCAGAGCATCTGTTCTGGGTTGTTTTAATTAAATACTGGTAATCCTCTTCCTGAAGGTGATCCCAGCACTGGCATTGCAGCAGCGTTTCTGTGCTGCCTCCCTCTTTGGAGCACAGGGATTTTGCGTTCTTGTCTGTGATGCTGCAGGAGACCACTCGTCTGTCACAAAGGACGTACTCACATTGTCCAGTCTGTTTTGTAGCCCCTGCTCAGGGTAGAAGGCACTAATGAGGGTTACTTACATGAGTAAGAGATTTAACAACAGTAAAAGTGGTAAACTTTTTCCAGGTTGACATAATACAGTTAAGCCGGAACCTATTTACATCTATTTCCATGTAAGCCATGAAAGGGTAAGGAGTTTTGTTTAAATTTTCCACAGAGCCTAGCTTGAGGAAAAGCTAAAAACATGGGCATTTTCAACCCAGAAAGCCAGCATTTTAGGAAAAAATGAGAATGTGGTCTTTTAAACTTGAAATCTGGTGCACGACTCTACCATTTCTCATGGGGAAATGGAACACTGCAATCGAATTAAGGCGAAAAAGCCAACCTGAAACACGGAGCCCCCCAAGTCTCCATGGTCACTGCCCACGTCTGCGCCGCCTCCCCACAGGGCCGCTGTTGTGCAATGCTCCCTTCCCGTGGGCTCCTCGGCCATGGGCCATTGCCCTTTGAGCTCCAAACCCAGCGGAAATAGAAATCAAAAGTAAACTCGGGCACGGCTCCTGCGGGCAGCTCTCTGGACACCTGGCTTCGCGTGGCGTTCGAGATTCTGCTCCCTCTGCCCCGGGATTTCCCTCTCTCGCACCCCAAACAGTGCTGATCGGGGGGGCTCCCCTCAAGTTTTAATCGATTTTCTCCCAGGAATAGCGCCTGTGAGACCACGAGCGGGTGCGGGCACGGACGCGCGGTTCCTGAAGCAAGCCTGAGGCGAGGGGTGGCTGCCCTTCCCGCCTTGCTCCCGCTCAGAGGGCGGCCCCTCTTCCTGCCTCTCCTCCCCTCACAGGGTGGCGCCGGTGCCCGCCTCCTTTCCTCTCCCTCCCTCTCCCAGCCCCCCTTGCCGTGAACCGGACGGCTGTGGCGGCGGCTGTAGCGGGAGCGCCCAGCACCGCCGGGGCGGTGGGTCCGGGCTGCGATCACCCGGTAGGTGCCTTCGCGGTGCGGGGTCGGGCCCGCGGGAGCCGTCGTCAGGCTGCTCACAGCGTTGGAGGGAGAGGGCGAAATGTGCGGGTTTGATTACAGAAATGAGCAACCTGGAGGTTACGGGCTGTAAAGGGCCGGCGGCCGAGCCCTGAGCTTGTGCAGTGCCCTAAAAATAACCTGGTATATTTGTATTGGGCAACACTCCTGGGCTTATGCCTGGAGAGAGCAATTTTATCTATGTATGTGTCCGGGACAGTGGAAAAACTCGGTGATAGTTAATTGTTCCGTGTGGAAGTAACACGGCCTTTAATGGAAAAGGGAAGATATTTTAAAGTTAAATTGAAAGTACGTTTTCTGTACTTCGGTATTCTCGTGTTTTGGCTGCCATCGATGTAGTATTTGTGTGTTTGGCAGAAGCGTGGACTTGATTCAGAAGGGTCGTTTCTGTGCTCTTAAGTGCTCACAACTCTAAAAGCCATTTGTGTGTTTGAAGCCTCAGTGTGTTTCCTCGCATAGGGTTTTGAGTCTCAATGCTTTGTGCTCTGAGCTGGCACAGATGGACTCTCCCATTCCTGTCATGAATTTTGCATCGCTGCTCTCCCAGCACTGGGGCTAAATGCAGTGTGTTATCCCAGCTGTGCATGCAGTCAAACTGAATGTGATTTGTGCCATCATGCTTGCAGCATGTCACACATGCTGGGAGGGAACTGAAGTAAAGTCTTCTCATTAGAAGATCAGTACTTGGTAAGCCCAAGTTTGTGTGTCGAAGGTAGGCAGTGAGTTGAGACATCTTTATGTTTTTTATCTTCTTTCGTATCACAGCTCTTACCCTGACTCACTAAACCTGTTTTCTTGTCAGTGTGTGGAGCAGATGAGAACAGTTTACAACAGTCAGTTTGGTGTTTGGAAACCACAAGCAGTTCAGTAGCATTCTGCAGGACTTAAACATTGCTAGTGGGGTTGTTATGGATGATGTAATGTAGCTTTGTGTCTGTAGTTCATAAAGATTGTAACAATACTTTGTAAGATGCACAGCCCAAATAGTTACTTAGGTTAAATTTTAGATCTGTATTTTAAAAGAATGTTAATCTGAAAAGCACTTTCTTGGAAGAAAAAACTGCCTGTTACAGGTATCCCGCTAGATGGCTTTAGCTGGTGCGGTGTTCAACCAAAAGGGATGTAGTATTATACTGGGGAGAACTGGCTCATTCTTGCTTTAATGCTTCTGTACAAGAGACAGGACTTCCTGAAGAGGCACAGAGGGTAATGTCTGAGCTGAAACAGCTGCTAAGAAGTAGCCGGAGGTGCTCTGGTTGTCCCTTGTTTTGTTGGCTAGAGCATCCATATCACTTGGCTCTTAGGGATGAATTAAGGCAGGTTTCAATGCTGAGGCAGCTGTGGGGCCTTGCTCAAGGGTCCCACCAAACCCAGCCGAGTTTTGTAGCAGTAGACACCCTACAAGAAACAAGACGTGTTTTAGCACCTCTGTGATGTGAATTTCCCCCTCTGTTTATCTATGTTTGCTTGGCACTGTGCTGGGTAACACAGTGGGTTGTCCTTACAACCACCTGCCCCTCTTGATGGTGTGTTTCTTGGATATAAAGGCAAGGGAAAGAAAAATACTGTAAAACTCCCCAAATTGATGAAGACTTGAGCAGATTTAGTAAATGATAGTATTTTAAAGTATCTTCATTTTTAATCACATAATACAAGGTTGATTAAAAAAAAAAGGAATGAATTTTCAAAGTGGGTTGGAGAAGGTAGTTTAAATTACAGGTTGTATGTGATAATGCAGTATTGCAGGCTAGGTTCAGTGCAGTTCCTCTTTGCTGCTGAACCCTTGGAAAGCTTCTGTAATAGATATTAAAGATTAAGAGATTAAAATGTAGCAGCAATAGTAACAGGAATTCCTAGATGGTACAGCTTTATGCCATAATGCAAAAGCAGAGATTATAAGCTTTGGGATGAAGCTAGGGCTTTTTAATAGGACTTTTATGAAATAAACTGTGAGGTTTAGTGCAGTGTTTGTGTAGGTTAAAGTTTGGTTGTCAGATTCTGATTTAAAGAGCATGTTACGTGAGGATGGTTTTTAGTAAAAAATCTGCCAAAGTAAACACAAGTCCTTTAGAAGAAGTCTGGTTCCAAGAAAAACTGAGAGCTCTATAAACGTGATTAGCTTTACAGACAGATTTGTGTGGTGATGTTCCATTTACACAGCAAGTCAGAAATTATGAATGTTTGCAATCACTGCTGCATAAATCTGCATTCCTTCTGCTGCTGTTTCTCAGAGTGCCTTGGACCTGGTGGATCTGCTTATGTGTGTGTGACTGCAGTAGTGGAAATGAGTACAGGATGGCAGTTGTGGTTAAGGAAGCTGCAGTATATCCTGGAGTTAGTCACATACTTGAACATCGTTTTACACCTGCTGTTTTTAAGTAGAAGTTAATGTTCTCAAGTACTTGTTAGACTCCAGTAAGATAATCACAGTAAAAACGGTAGTGCAGCTCAGAATCCTTTCTCCTTCCAGTTGTGCACTACTGCCTCTTTCCAGAAATAGCAGCTGTTGTGTGGTCTTTGCTAGAAGAGCTGATTATATGTATGCTCCAAAGCTGCTTCAGTACAAAGTCAGATGAGTTGGCTCAGACTTCCTCCAGCAGTGGTTTACTGTAGCTGATGCTGCCTGATGTAGGAGTTCTGGTGTTGTGTTACTTGCTGAGCTGTGGGAATGCTGCGTCTGCCAGAAAGGCAGTAACCAGCAGCATAATGTTGCTAGTGAAAGGTGCCATACATTAAGGCACTGTCTCTGTGGTGACTATCTTCTCAGTAGCTGTGGTGTAAGTCTCCAGCTGTGAATACTGCTCTAGAAGTGTACTTATCTGGTACTGTTCCATGGACAAAGAAGGTTCAGTATGCACTGGATTGAAGAATAACAGTGAAGCAAAGCTGAAAACCTTGTTTTATGGTTTTAGGCTACTTGTGTGAAAATTTCAGATTTAGCTGGTTGGCTAATTGATGGGACACTTTGAAGTTGCTTTAAGTTGTACAGCCAGCATTAGGGCCAAATCTTGAAATTCTACCTAATCCTGTTTTGTGGGTGCACGTATCTTCAAAGTATGTAGACTTACATCTCTTCCAAGGGCTTTGATCATTCCTACATCTCATTTTTCTAGCTTGTGAAACAGCTGATACTTCCATTAGATGGATGTTGGAAGGAAGGGTAGTATATAATACTGAGAGCAAATTAACAAATTAAGTACAATATTCTGTAAGCTCAAATCTTTGCTTTTAGGGCTCCAGGACCAAAAGGATTTTAAGCCATAAATTGTGTGAAACAAATCAAGGTTTGCTGCTTTGTGTGATCTATTTCTGCCCTCTAAATAAGAACAAAACAGACCTGACATCAATACACTCACAGAACCCATCTGAACAGCCAAAATCCACTGTGGCAGACTTACCAGCAAGTATTTGTTTAAACTGAGCTAAATCAGCCTGAAGATTTGGACGATTACTGTGCATTCATCTAACCCCTTCCTGTTTTTCATGCAGCAGAGCAATGTGAATAATCAAAACTAAAATGAAGAGAAAATATTTCCATTAATTTGAGTGGGCCTAGAAGTTTGTGTTACTGTTTTCTGGTTGCTTTGAGTAAAACACCTGTAAGCTCTGATAGTGGTTTAAGAGCCATGGTGTGGTTTGTAAATCTGCTGTATTATTTTTAAGGAGAAGAAAGTACAATAAAATCAAGCAGTAGCCCAGTCCTTTGTTTGTTTGCCCCTTTCCAGTCTTCCTATGTGTGAGTCTACACTGGCTTTTTGTTCTGATCAGAAAAGCACTTCTGAAGCAAGTCTCCTGATCATCTCAGCTCGTTGCACCTTGATTCATATTGAAAAGCTGTCTCAGTGCTTGCAAACTGAAATCCTTGTGCATGAAACTTAACTGGAGAACACAGTTCTCTCTTATCCACTCCCTGAGACCTGACCAGAGTTAGTCTAAATAAATCCTTAAGAGATGGATGGTGAGGATGTCACAGCCTCAACACAGGTGTCCTCTGCAGACCTGCTCTCTGTTCACTGCAGTGCTTGTGGTGATGCCCAGTAGGTTCCTGCCCAGGACTTGTTTTCTCCTGGTGGGTTTTAATGAATCGGGTTGTTCACTGCTGTCAGCTTGGTCGTGATCAGATTTACTGATTGACGTTAGCATTAAATAAAAATGCAGTGGGAAACAGTAGAGTGACATGGAAAGCTCCGAGCAGGATATGGTCATAGGGGAATTGGTTGTATGTTGTGGTACTCCCAATAGAAGAAACAATTAACAAAAGTATATGGCAGAAAGGTAATTTCACCTCAGTCTGTGTTCTCTTTAGTGTGGTCTGCGCTTTTGATGCAATTGGGTATTCAGTTCATTACAGAAAGTCATTAAATTTGGCAAAGACAGGTGTTAGAGACTTCAGGAAATGACTCTGAAACCCAGAGTTAGTGCAGTTAATAAAAATAGGATTTCAGAAAAGATGAACTATCAGCAATTAGAAGAATGTGTGTGTAGGGATGGGATACTGTTCTGTGCAGGTTTCTTTGCTCTTTGAAGCACCTGGTATCACATGAATCATGGACCTGCTCTGCTGTGGCTGTTGTCATGGTCTTGACTGAGATAGAGTTAATTTTCTTCCTCCTGGCTGCTGCAGTGCTGTGGTTTTGGATTTAGTATGAGAATAATATTGATAACAAATTGATGTTTTAATTGTTGCTAAGTCATAAAACATTTCTCAGTTTCCTGTGCTCTGACAGTGAGGAGGTACATGAGAAGCTGGGACGGAGCACAGCCAAGGCGATTGATCCAGACTAGCCAAAGGGGTATTCCAATACTCCATATTATAGAATGGCATGCTCAGGATATAAACTGGGGGGCTGGCTGCAGGGTGACAGAGTGGTGATTGCTGCTTGGGGATGGGCTGGTGATCAGTCAGTAGGTGGTGAGCAGTTGTACTGTGCATTGCCTGTCTGTCTTGGGTTTTATTCCTCTCTCTTTTTGTTGTCTCCTTTTCCATTACAATTATATTATTATTTTATTCCAATTATTAAACTGTTCTTATCTCGACCCATGGGTTTTACCTTTTTTCTGATTCTCCTCCCGTCCCACTGTTGTTGGGGTAGGTGAGTGGCCACGTGGTCCTTAGTTGCCAGCTGGAGTTAAACCATGACACTGTTCATATTTTCCTTGATAGCTAGAATCCTTGTGGCGTGGAAAGGGAGCCTGAGCTACAGAGAAGCATTTCATGATTCACCTGTCTTTTTTTATAACACATACCTGTTGCAGCAGTTGGGCTGTGCAGTATCTGTGCTCTGCCTCCCAAAAACTGGTGTCACTGATTTGGAAAAACTACGGTAAAATGGGAGACTTTGCAGAGCTGCAATTTTGGTACCCATATGAAACTTCCCATATTGTTCACTTCTAATGTTGTTTAATGTGTTAGAAGGCCTCAGTGAAATATTTATCGAGAGTGTCACCTTCTGAGCTTTGAAATAATTGAGCAGATTTAAACGAAAATCCTTGACCTGTCTGCCGCACACTTGTGTTTACTTTCAGTTTGCTTAGTTTATTTTGGAGCTAGGACCCAGGAGAAGCCAAACCCTGCTTATTCTGTTCTCTTAGGATCCAGGAAGCTACTACGAAGTTGAAATAACCAGTGACAAAATCAAGCTTTCTAGTCCCTTTCTAAATGAGCTATTAACCAGGGAGGGTAAGCTCTTTGCTTAAAGTGAACACAGCTCAGCGTGCTGCCAAATCTGCTCTATTTGGAGCTGGAATAGCATTGTTCAGATTGCACAAGTCTGTCCCAAGCAATCCCTTCACAGAGAGTAAAACACAGAAGGACTGAGGTACTCGTTACACATACTTCCTCTTGCCTCTGAGGTCCGCTAGTGAGTGAGTGGGGCAGGCCTCTTTTCTTGGCCTTTTTTGTACTGTCTCTCCAAGGACATCCTGTGTAGCCTGGATAGTGTACTGCACATTCCCCAGCATGCTTTCCACTGTGGACTGTTGGCTATACGTGAGCTAAAAGCTAATTTAACTCTCGGCAGTTGTGGGACAATTTTCTATGTTGTCTTAGTGATAACTCTTGGCTCATCTGGCTATTAATTTATATGCAATGTCCTTGAAAAGACTTATCCTGAAAAAACTTGAAAACCTGACTATGGTTAAAGGTAAAACCCCCTCAGGTTTCTAAGACCAGTGTTGTGAAACTCAGCATTTTAGGTAAGGAAGAATAAAACCATTCAGAGGAGGACGTGTTGCAAGCCAGAGGCAATAGGTGGTGTTTGCAGTCCTCAGATTTCATAGTTCTGTACTTGGTTATCTTCTTTTTCTCAGTCCTGTAGCAAGTTAAAAAGTGAGTGCCTTCTGGATAGCCAAATATAGCACTGAGGTGTTCAAAACCACATGTGGGTACTTGGGGATTGCTTTTATGTAGCCATACGCAAATGATTTTTTTTTCTGCCAAGAGTTTTCTGAGATCAGTTTTATGCATCATTTGTTCTTTTAATAACAACCTTTTTGTTGTTTTTCTCTCCCACCCAGCTTCTTCCCTTCATTTGCATGTGCGTTGGAATGGTGGTTGTTTTAATCATTGCAGGAGTTCAGCCAACCTCCCACAAACATGGCAGACGAGGACCTTATTTTTCGTATGGAAGGGATTGATAATGCCAGATCAACTACAGCCAGCTCTGGGAATTATCTTGATGCTGATAGTGATGATGAAGACAGTTATTTTATCTGCCCAATAACTGATGATCCAGTTTCTAACAAGTCTGCCAGTATCAAAGTTGACAATTATTATAGCAATTTAGCAAAAACTGAACAGTACAGTTCAAGCTCTTCTCCTAGAAACTCATTTAGCTTTAAGGTAAGTGTTTGATTCAGCTTTCAAGAAGGTTTTGGTTTTACTTAGTTGGCACGAGAGATTCTCTTAATTGCTTCATCTCTTGCAACTAACACTTTTCAATGAAAAAATAATCTGTTTTTTCCAGACTTGCAGTTAATTCCATTAAGCCAATGACACTGCCATTGAATTGCTTACTGTCCCTTTTAGTTCACTGGGAGGTCTTAATCTACAAAGATAGCAGAACCCAGGTGAACAGTTAACAGCCATTATGATCAAACCATTTAAAAAGCAATACATTAATTGGGAGATTTAAAAGATTATGCTTGTTGTAAGCTGAATTGAGGCCTGACGGAAGATACTTTATTGCCTCTGCTTGCAAAATCCATAATAATCTATAATATTTTTATTTGGGCATACACAATTGTAATGGTAGCTTTTTAGGTTATAGTTACTGCCCAGGGAGCTTTTAATAATGAGCATGAAGTGTCACACTGGCAGTATTTCCTGACAGTGTACTCAAGCAGCAGCTGCCCTTTTTGAAATGAACAGTAATCAAAGCATTGCAGAGGGGTCAAAGGGGTTGTAGCTGGTGCTTCCTTGGCAGTGTGTCCTGTTCTACTTGGCACCATTTGCACAGATCAGGCCAGGCAGTGGAGCCTCAAGAATGCAAATGACATTCGCTCTATAGGTTAGATATTCCAAATATGCACCCTTTGTGATAAAAGAGCATGTCTCTTAGATTTTGTCTAGACTAGGATTTAATGTGTTGTATTAACACATTTCTTCTTGTAAATATTAATATTTATGTAGTAGGTACTGTAAAACCTTGGTCATGCCTAATGAATGCTTTATTCCTGGAAAGATACCAAAGGGTTTATTTCAGGACATAGACCTGGAACAAGTCCAGAGGAGACCACAAAGATGCTCAGAGGGCTGGAGGACCTCTGCTATGAAGACAGGCTGAGAGAGGTGGGATTGTTCAGCCTGAAGAAGAGAAGGCTCCGTGGAGACCTTAGAGCAGCTTCCAGTGGCTAAAGGGTCTGAGAAGAAAGCTGGAGAGGGACTGTTACTGTTTACAAGGGCAAGTGGTGATAGGACAAGGTTTTAAACTGAAAGAGGGTAGCTTTAGATTAGATACTAGGAAGGAATTCTTCCCTGAGGCTGGTGAGGCACTGGCACAGGTTGCCCAGAGGAGATGTGGCTGCCCCATTCCTGGCAGTGTTCAAGGCCAGCTTGATGAGGATTGGGGCAATCTGGTCTAGTGGAAGGTGTGCCTGCCTGTGGCAGGGGGTTTTAACCAGATGATCTTTTAGGTCCCTTCCAGCTCAAGCCATTCTATGATTCAGTCAGCTAGCATTAAGTAGCACATTAAAAGTGAATCTGCCCTGTCTACAGTAAGATTTTTGCCAAGGCTAGTTAATACAGACATTAAAAGGAACATATTCCTAAGGAAGTAAAAGTTTAGATATAGACAAGGGGACACATTTTAGTGTATCCTATTGCTAAGCAAGTTAAGACCTGGTAGGGAGCTTAGTCTTCATTTATGTGTGTTTAAGCATGTACTAAACACTTGCCTTTGGGCTTGCAGTGTGAGTTCTGAGTCATCTGGCCTGAGGTAAAACTGATAAGGACTTAAGATCTTGCAGTTATTTCCTCCCTCTTAAGATACCATGTTGTTTTTGAAGAATATATGTGCCCATGCTTTGACCTAGTTGGACATTTTAGCTCCTGTCACAGGTAAGATGCATGGGGTTGAGATGGGGAGCAAGCAAGGCTCCATCTGGTGCTTAAGCGGCAGATATGGTGACTTCCAACAGTGAAGCAGCCAGGGCTGGTAACATCTTAAACCACCACAGCCTGATCTGATCAGAGTCTACCTGTTAGACCCCAAAGCTAATGGCATTATGGACCCCTGATAATGAGATGCAGACCGATACAAGAGTTGTTACTAATTCTGCCTCTGAGCAGGACTCAGTAATTAATTCATTCATAGGCAACACCCTTTTAACATATTAAAATGAAAAAAGGATGTTTCAAATTAAAACATTGCCAACTTACCTTGATAGGTTTGTTCCCAGATGTAAACAATCTATGAATATGTGAATATAAATTGAAGAGTGGCTTTTCAGTTGAAGAACCTTTTCTTTTCCTTATTTTGCTTTAATTAACGAAGAGAACAGAGACTCTTTGTCAATCATTTGTCTTATCACCTGTGTTTTCCTACTTTTATGTTTCTCATGCATCCTTTAGAATGACACACAGCATCGTTCTAAGCATGGCTCTGTGGTTGACCATAGTCGGGTAGGTTAAAAAGAAATGTGAACATGTATCTATCTAATAGATGCATTAAGGTTTTTTGGCTTGCTTTTCTTTTTATGTCCTTTTTTAGTTTGTTATTTTGTTGTCTGGGAGAACTGCTTGTCTCAGCCCATAAAAGTCATCAAGTCAAAACTAAAAAAGATATATGTTAAATGAAATAATACTCGTCTTTTGTTCTGTACCCTGAAAGGTCACTTTTAAAGTGCGTATCTGTGGTTGCTCCTGCACACTATTTCCTACTGTGGACAAAAATGAATGCAAGACATATACTTAGTATGGCAGCCATATGCCTTACAGTGGGAGAAAATTGCACTGTTAGCCCCATGACCATGAAGTCCGTCTTCTGTTTGAAGATTAAAATACAGCTTTTGTACAAAGCACCTCACAAGATCAAAGAGAAGTAATTAATTTATTTAAATCGTTCCCTAGCATGGACCCAGATCACCTTTGGAGAGGGACACTACTCAAGAATGATTTGACATAGATAATCGACCAAGCAATTCTACTTGTTTCTCTCTCTCTTTCTTTCACATATATTCAAGTATAGAAGTTCCCAGGTCCATATGAAGTGTGAATCATCACATGATCTGAGGCAACTTCATTTTCTCATGGATCATATAGGAAATCTTTCTCAGCATGTTTTGTTAAAATTTTATTGTAGTGTTGTATTCATTTGCTGCCTTTATTGTCAGAAAGGGGAACGTTTAAGTTGTTTGCAGGGTATGCAAAGTTACAGCAGAAATAAAAATAAACAGTTTAAAAGCTCAGTTGTTTCAAAAACTTATTGATGTAATTGGTGACACCAATTTATACTGTACATTTTAAGTTTTGAATGAGATTTAAATAAAAGACTGTTTCTGCATACTTGAAACTCGGTCAGAGGCAGTAATAAGACATCAGAGCTCAGTATTTCTTTACTGGCAGAGGTGCAGAGTAGCCTTTTCTTCTGCTCACCTTTGCAATAGGCATTTGGCTTATCACAGGATCATATCTCCTGTTCTCTTGGAACAGTCCAATGTAAAAAGAGGAAGATCAAGATGTTAACAGAAAAGGACCTAAATTGACTGGTAGAGAAAGACTATTTATATTCCAGAAAACTAATTTGATTATTTACTGCTGACTTGGTAGACATTGAAATAGCTACTTGCCTGGAATTGCTATAATAATCCAATATTACAGCATTCTTATTTCTTCTTTCTTATGCTGAGCACAATCTTGGGGCCTTGGGATTTACAGAACTTTGTCCATAATTCTCTGTTGCTGATGGACATTCTGTGCTTACACATATGCGTAACATACGCATCTACCCAACAGCATATACTGTTACAATAAGGTTAAAAATCAACCAGCAAAAGTGAATTAATACCATCTAGATGTGCCTTATCACTGCTTGTAGTATATGTTAGAGATATTTGCTAATTATATTTGGTGTATACTAGATCAGATTCTCTTCACAGTAACGTTACAGCAGTGCAAATTGAACTGAAACCTGATGCTTTGGATTTCTGAACTGCTTCATTATACTTGAAGCTATAAAATGGGAGTGGTTTCTGTACCACTTGGTCCCCCTCTGAGTAGTGCTTTGGGGGCTCATGTAGTTGCACATCTCTATAGCATTGGGATCCTGATGTGTTGTAGAAAATGTTTTTGTTGTGAGTTGATGGTGATTATTAATAACATGCCAGTTTTAACTTCTTCAGGAAGCCTGGAAACATGCTATTGAGAAAGCTAAGCACATGCCTGATCCGTGGGCAGAATTTCATCTTGAGGACATTGAGACAGAACATGCCACTCGTTACAGGTCTGTTGGTCTTTCTGCTTCTAGTGCTGATGTTAAACAGAATGTGCTGGTTTATGCAAGGGCTGTGTTTGTGTAGTGCAGAATATGTGTAATTACATGGCTGAAGAACTTGTGATAATACCCAGAGTAAGTGCGTCAACTGAATCTCCCAGGAAAACGTAAATACTGTACATCAAAAAAAATATACCTTTCAGCAAACCGGTGTCACGCTCACTTACTCTCCTACCTAAGTAGTATCTGAGTTGCCATAATGTAGACAGGAAACAAGGCTGAGAAGTATTTTCTAGTTGACTTACTATTGCTGTAAACTTAATCTAATAAGCAAATGAATCCTAATAAAAAGCAGCATACTTAGTTTAAATAGTTCAGAAAAAACCCCAACCTAACACTCTGTGCTTTTCCTAAAATAGCAGTTTCACTGTTGCCTGCCCATGCAGTGTTGCTGCATGTGGCTGGAATTTAAGTTCTTATAAAGCCAAGAATAGCTCAGTATAGTGTACGTGCTGAAACTGAGTTTGGCCCTGAAACTATGCTTAGTGCTTTAGCACAGGCTTTGCCAAAGCATTTACCCTGCTGACACAGGTTTCTGGTGGAAAGGGTAGGAGTTAGAGGCCAGTTAATTACCACTTAGTGTCAGTGTTTGGGAAGGCCTCCCTTCCAATTATGTAGCACTGTCACACAGTGCTTCTCTTCCCCATAGGCTTATCTGTCCCTGGTCAGCCATACAGTCCTGAAATAGTTTGCTTATTTTAAAATACAAATAAGTGATAATACTGGTTTAAGGCTACTCAAATAATCTATTGAAATGGCTCTGATATTCTTATTTCATGCCTTTTGTCTGCACAAACTAGGGTGTTACAGAATATATAAAGGGGGTATATGGGGTGTCTGCATGTGTGAAGTAGTTGATACACATTGGGAGAATCAGTCTGGAAACAGTCGTGTTGGTGAGTCAACCACTGTGGTTCTCAATTTGGCTTTTACTGTGTTGGGAGTTAAGGGTGTGGGGAGAAACCACAGTCGTACTCTGTATTGTCATAGGGTTGTGCAGAGACGTACTCCTCCCTTGGTGCAGTGGTGGGCAGTTCTTGGCCCCAGTGCTTTTGACAGGCGCAGCTGGTGCTGAGTTCTGTTCACATCTTCTGCAGTCCTTCAGCAGATCCCCAGCCATAACCAGGTTTATGCAAGCTCACGGTTGGGGAGTGCAACCTGTCCAATTTGTAGGGCTTGGTAAGACTCTTTCTGTCCCCAGAGTACTGCTGGAGGAGGAGATTTAACATCAAAGCAGATAAAGTTTAATTTGCAGTGTTGCAAGAGTTTACCTTCTGTAGTGGAGTCTATTCATTGTCAGTAGGATTTGGTATCTTTTCAAAGAGCTGTATGTATTTCTTCTTTTCCATACTAAGTAAGGAGGACAGGAGTGCGGTGGAAAGACTGGAAGTTTTTGTGTAGATATGGCAGCAGCATTTTTTAGCAGCCAAGTGGAGATAAGGACGGATAGGCACTGGGGATGGGGGGATTTGGGTTCTCTCTGCATTTTTCTAAGAGGCACATCTCCCGATTTTGCAGGTACAATGTGGTTACTGGGGACTGGGTTGAAGATGAAGTCCTCATCAAGATGGCTTCACAAGTAAGATCACACAGTCTTTCATATTTATTAGTAGCTAATTTGTCATTTCCTTCCTGTTTCTGAATGGTGATAGCGGGATATTTTCCTCATATAGAAGTTTTTAAGTCCCAATGTCATCCTTTTCTCCTACCTCTCTTCTTCCTTGGCTTAGCCGTTATGTTTTGGTGTCCCAGCAGAGGACACCAAAGCACTTTCTTGCCAGAGTAGGGTAGAACATAGAGTCAGCCCTTCCCCGTCAGCATCATGAGGCATTTGTTCCTTTCCCAATCATCTCTCTTGCATTTCCTGCTGGCCTCATCTCGCTGCCTGACAGTAGTCCTGCTATTTTGTGTGCATCCAGATAATTTCTGCTTTTAGGATGAAAACTGATTGAATTTTCAGTATGGGAGGGTAAAAGCTACTGGTTGCTTCCTAGTTAAATTGTGAAGCTGGCGCTATGTTGGAGTCACCTTGCTACTGATGTAGTATCTGGCATCTGCGAAGGTGATGCTCTTTTTGGAGCACCCTGTATGGAAGCCTAAATACAGAGAATGTGAGGTCTGCAAAGCTAGCTTCTCCAGGCAGTCACAGCAGAGCTGACTCCAAACTGGAGAGAGAATTTGAACAGCTTCTTCAAAAGTCATATCATGTCTCTTCCATGAGATACTGTCTTTTCCCCAGATTCCTACCTACGCTGCCAGTGGGTTTTCACTTTTCTTTGAGGAAATAGATATTATATAGAGCCTGTTTTGAGAACTGCTTTCTACAGGATATAAAGGGGAAAACATGGTTGTGTGTCTTACTGGTTATAAATTAACTCTGTGGAAATGGCAATGCTCTATTTTTGTTTTTTCTCTAGCCTTTTGGTCGTGGAGCAATGCGGGAGTGTTTCAGAACGTAAGTACCTGCTGGCTTTATCTTTGTTGGTCTCTGTGCGGTATTTTCTTCTGTGGTGACTGGAATTTCGTTGAGGTGTGGTGGAAGCTGTAAAGTTTGCCTGCCCATTAGGTTTCTGAAAGGTGTAACTGATGGGTTCATTCCTGTTTGTGTGACTCCAGCAGCAGCACAGGGGGTGGGCTTCAGAAAGCAGAACGTTCTTTTAAGGGAAGAACAAGCAAGCATGATGCAGCATCCAGTGAGCTTGCTTGGGAAAGTCAAACCATTGCCTGTAGTGGAACTGCAGTTGGGACACCTAATATGCAGTCATATCCAGTTCCAGCAAGTATAATCACCCTGAAAATTACAATTAATAAATTCATGCTATTTCCACAGTCTCTTGGGGGCAATATACTCATAAAAGTACAGAAGCAGCTACTTCATTTCTCTGTGTTCCTGGTGTGCTAAAATATGATTGAATTTGATACGAGGCCAGAGGTGTGTGCAGCCTGAAGGCTAATTTGTAGGCTTGTAGTTAGGCAGAGAAAAGGGGAGTGAATAGTTGGATGGTGCAGTCTCAACTTAGAATGCTTCCCTTGGTGAAGAAGGTTATCCCTCCAGAATTTGCTTCAAGATCACGTGTTGCAGACTCATCTTGTTCTGAGTAAGGCACAGCTTGAACACTAACAGTTACACTCCCCAGAAGGGTAAAGTGTGAGGGAAGGCAGAGGAGGAGCTTTTCTTTCCTCAGAGTGTGTTAGCAAACATAGTTGCAGGCATGAACATTATATAGCTATAAATCAGTTCATGCTGGAGGAGTACCCTGCCTTTCCAGGCTCTGGAAATGAATGTTTCCTGGACAATGTTCATGTGCGTGTTTAAGATTGTTCCCCTTCTTTCCAGTTGCAGTATCCAGAGAAACTGCATTTCACTTCTGATTTCATGTCCAGAAAGAGAGAAACTCCTGAATGACAGAAACATGATTTTTCTACTTGAGCAAAAAAGAGGAAAAGTAACCCTCAGTCTTCCAGTTTGGCATTGTTTCAGTGTCAGCTCGTGCTGGAGGCTCTGTTCTTGCAAAACCAGATAGATAACAGCAGTGAATTAAGCGTAGGAAGTAACAAATCTTAGTCTGCTGACATTGCTTTTAGCTCTTGTTATTTACCAAATTCCCCTTTACATGGTATCTTGAGTAGTGCCATTAACAAAAATTTTTCTTTGCAGCTTTGGTGTAACCTTTTGTAAAAAGAAAGCAGAACTCGTATGTCAGCTTCCTGCTGCTGGCTTTTCCATAGCTCTCCATGGTGCACTGATATTTCTCATCTGGAGCTCTTTCTTCCAAATTTTTGCAACTCTGCAAGTCTTTAGTCATGACAGCAGCAGCATTAGCTGTGCTTGGCTCAATGAACTTCAGAGAGTATTTGCTTTAGAAAGAGCACGTAAGCTGGCTTTTTTTATGCAGAGAACTGGAAAAGTTTCACGTCCTCCCTTAAATTCTTTCCTCACTTGCTTGTTCCTTCTTTCCAAGGCTTCTGTTCTAGCAACTGCCCCGTCCATGCTGGAGGACAGGCAATCTGAAATTGCTTTGTCTTTATAGTGTCCCCTGTACTTCTCCACCAGGGTCTTGGGAGGGAGAGAGGAAAGGAAGGAGGGGAATGCTGAGAGTTTGAGTGCTGCTACCAGCTTCTCAAAATGTAGTTTGCCATGGCACCAAGAGAACCATGGTTTGTTACTGAGCAGTGCATGAGAACTGCTTAGTAGCCAGACATGCCTTACTCTAGATACTCTTCATATTCCTCCTCCCCCTTCAGTTCTCCTTCTGGGAGCATGGGGGATACTGAGTAGTCACTCCTGCTTGTTGAGAAGGCAGCAGGACTTCTCTTATCATAGAAGATGTTTTTCTCCTCTCAGTTCATGTTTGAAAGGCCGCTCCCTGTTAATTTCCGCAGAAAATAATTGTTGACATTAGAACAGGGCATTTATACTTTTATACTCTATGTTTATACCCTTTATGCTCCATGTTTGAGGGGAGCAGGGTGGGAAAGGACATGAGAAAAGGAGGAAATTCAGAGTCGAAGTAGCTGCAGTCAAACTGATCAGGTGCTCTGGTACATCCCAGCCATTCAGATGGGATGTTGCTTTTCCCCTTGCTCCCTACCTGTGCTGCACTTTGCAGCTAGAATATCTGGTAAATGACTGAGGGTAATGCTGATTGGAGTGCCTGGCTTTGTCCAAGCAGGCAAATACCTGGGAAAGAGTGAATTAAAATTCTGTGTTTTCCTTTCACCAACAATTGATTTGTCTTTCAGGAAAAAGCTGTCTAACTTCTTACACACGCAGAACTGGAAAGGTGCCTATAACTATGTTGCCAAGCAATACATAGAGAGTGTGGGCAGGGATGTGTATTTTGAGGATGTCCGACTTCAGATGGAAGCAAAACTCTGGGGAGAGGAGTACAACCGGCACAAGCCACCAAAACAGGTACATTCAAAGATCTTGCTAAGCAAAAGTTGCACTCTTGCTCTCCTGTTAGATTAGTTTTCAAGTGAATTTAAAGGGAATTACTTGTTTGCATTCCATTAAATGTAATTGTTTAGGCAGATTCTTCTGCCCTGCTGTGTTTTCCATTAAATGATAGCTGATTTTTAATGAAGTAAATACAGAAATTGCTTTATATTTCCAGGATTAGAGGCTGTGTGTGAATGCCTGACTGTTCTCAGCTGTTGACTGAAGACTCAGATAAAATAGTGCTTGTATTGCTCTTTTAGATATTTGCCCAGCTGCTTTTGAGATAACTAGATATGTCACAGAATTTATTGCCAGCAGCAGTCTTGGCAAGCACTTAACTGTTAGTGCTCCAAGAATGTAGATGCTTAAATCTTGTAAACCTGTATAAGCACCTAAAGTAGCATTGATTTTTAAGAAGACCTGGAAACCTGAATAACTTTATGAAGCGATTCAAATACAGATTTCTGAGGAGTGATCAGTAATTTTAGAAAAAATGAAGATACTGTGGCTTTGCTTCCTTCAGGTGTCTCAGTAACAATATGAGCACATTGTGTTAAGTGCAAAGCATGAAGGAAGATGTATGAAACTCTCATGTGGGTGAAATGTCAGACTAGGCTCACTGTATCTAGAGAAGTTCCCATCCTCTCTGCTAGGAATGCGCATAAGCACATAGAATTCAGGGAGAGGTGGTTCTGTTGCTTCATTGGCTGGAGTCTGTGCTAAACATTATGTACAGCCAACATAGCTTTGTCCTTTTCCATGGTGGTAGGCTGGATAGCTGCTGGTTGAAGCTGCCATTGCATCCTGGACAAAAGCACCTCCAGCAGAAATTAGCTTGTTAAAAATCAAGAAACTAAAGTGCAGGGATGAAAGACTGTAGCTGTCACTCCCATACTCACTCTTAGTTGAGTATGTCCATGGTGTGTATCAATCAAGTGTCAAGTCCCTTTAATCCGCAGCTGGTACCGACTGAATGTAACTATGACTTAAAGTAAGTGGAAAAGGCAGCTTGGAGGGTGCTGAGCATGCACTGTGGTATCTTGGTACCTGCTTTTGGCTCTGCCACTGACTGAGTGTGGCATGTGACAAGATGCTTGGGTCAAGAAGAATGCCTCGGTATCGGGGCCTTAACAACTAAATAGCCAAAATGAGTGTTTTTGTGAAGTATGTGCGTTGCCTCTCATATGAAGTTTAGCTAATAACTATCAATCTCATAACAGCAAGGTGAGGTATAGAGTAGAGTGTACAGAGAGGACTCTAGAAATATAGAAGTTTTAAATGCTATGTTGGAAAAGATGTTAACAAAATGAGAGTTGTGATGCTTTCTCCTTTAGGAATGTGTCTGGGACAGGAAGGAGGTGAGGCAGGATACAGAAATACCTGAATGATAGATGTCTTCAGTCCGTCTCTGAAAAGGCATTTATTGAAGTTGTGCAGTAGTTACGATATGTTCTGCTCTCTTGGCATAGACTTTTTGCAGGACACTCTTAAAGTACCCACAGAAATAAAACAGAAAGCCAACCTTACTAAGCATTTTTGAGAAGGATATATGGCAGAAGTTCTGCAGAGCTCTTTTGAAGTGACTTCTAATTTATGAAATCCTCTAATAACCTGAGGAGCACGTGACTTTTCCCCACCCCCTTGATAAACAGACAGATCTTTGCAATTGTTCAGCTTCTTTCACTGGGAAAGTTTTCACAGCTGGCGGCTTCACACACGCTTTGATCTGAACACAGTATTCTATTAGTCATTGTTTATCTTCTTTCCCTCCCCAGGTGGATATAGTACAGATGTGTATTATCGAAATGAAGAACAGACCTGGAAAGCCTCTTTTTCACCTGGAACATTACATTGAGGGCAAATACATAAAATACAACTCAAATTCTGGATTTGTGCGAGATGACAACATTCGTCTTACCCCGCAAGTAAGAATTTGTTTAACGCTTTCCAGAGAGTCTGCTACAGGGAATTTTTTTGGCTCCATCTAGAGGTCTTGCTTTGCTGCCAGGGAAGGAAACTGCAGGTTTGCCAGTACAATGCCAAATTATTTTCTCTTTTTGCAGTATGTCTGCCCCTTATTTGGGGCCTGCTCTTTCAAGTGCCAAGTGCTGCTTCATTGCATTTCAGTGTCTGTCGATTTTAATGGAGTTGAACATGGAGAACACTCTTTGGAAACATTAAGCTCTTTGACTCTTCTTGTAATTGCAGGGATTGATGTATTTCAAACTCTTCAAATTAAGGCAGGGAGAGGGACCTGTCATGTACTATGTACTAAATAGTCTTCTGGTGCCTCATGTAATATACAAAAGGAAGTGGCAGATATCCAACTTGTATAAATAAAAAAACTAGTCTATTTGCATACAGAATCTGTTTTGGGTGGTTTTTTTCAGCTACAGTCTCTGAATAGGTGAATCTGAGATTACATATAGAAATAAAAGTACAGATTTCAAATGTTTCTTGGATCTCATAAAAGAGCTTTATTGGTGAATGAATGCAAAGTGGTCAGCATAGCAGAAGAGTATTTTACTGGGGCTTGAGGGATATTTGTTGTGATGCTTAATGTAAGCAGAGGGTTTATGTTCTGGCCTGTCTTTTGTACATTGAATCAGTGCTATGCTTTTCCAGGTTGGGAACAAAATGTTTCATGGGATTTGCTGCAGTTAAAATGTTTGTCTATCACCACCAGTCACCTCCCTCAGTCTTGGCAGTGCTTTTTTGGAGGCCTTCCCAGAAGATTCCTAATGTCTCAGCTTTGTGCCAAAGAGAAGGGCTTTTTATACCCGATTCTTGAAATGCTGCATTTAAAGAGTACAAATGTGCATTTCATTATCTGACACACAAATGTAGAGCCAGATCAGCTGTTCAGGGGACCTCTGAGAGGGCATAGCAGGGGAAGGAGAACATGTGGGGATGCGCAATGTTTTAGTTTTGTTTGTTGGTGCTTTCTTGTTTGGGTTTTTTTTTTTTCCTCTTAAAATGTGGCAGAGCTTTGCTTGTTGGCAGAAGGATGCAGAATGCCAGGGCTGCAGAGCTTGGAGATCCACAGGCACAGCCAGGAATTTTATGCAGAAGATATTCTACACTTGCTTCAGAGCCTACTATTGTTTGCTCTGCCAGGCAGCTCCCCTCTTAAGGTGAAGACTGTAGCAGAAAGCAGAATCTCGGGAAGGAGGAATACAGAGATCTCTATTTACTACCTGCTTCAAGTCTCTCATTGCTTTCATCATGATGTTTATACCAGTTATATTTCACTAATACAGTTATCAGAACTCTTTGCCCATTTGTAAGTGGTAAATAGGTGTTGCTGTTTTCAGTGGATCAAAGGAGAGTTTTCTCAGATGTCTTCTATGGTTCTTCCCAGGCCTTTAGTCACTTCACCTTTGAGCGCTCAGGACATCAACTCATTATTGTTGACATCCAGGGTGTTGGAGATCTTTACACGGACCCTCAGATCCATACAGAGAGTGGTACAGATTTTGGGGACGGCAACCTAGGTAAAATCAATAATCCTGTTTCACATGGTCATGGGTGCTTATTTTCTCTTCCTAGCTGTCTGCTCAGTAGCCACCACGTGGCTGAGTGAGCAGGCACATTTCGGAGAGTCTTGCAAACAGCTGAGGAAGGTCTGTTGTAAGGAGTGCCTGAACAGGGTAGCTGTCACACAAGGGCAGATTTAAAATAAGAGTTGATCTTTGCTCATGTCTCTTGGCCTACTCTTAAACAAAACAAGTAATGAAATTAACTAGCTTCCTGCAATGTGAGAGCATTAATCATGGCCTTTAATTTTGTGTAGAGATACGTGTATTTTTAAAGCTCCAGGTGTCCATACAGGAAGTTGTTCATAGGAAATAGCAAGTTTTGTAAGCAGAATCTAATTTAGCTACGTTTCTCAATGATGCACCCAAATTAATTTTTTATTCCATCATAGAATGGTTAGAGTTGGAAAGGACCTTAAGATCATCTAGTTCCAGCCCCCTACCAGGGGCAGGGATGCCTCACACTATACCATGTTGCCCATGACACTGTCCAGCCTGGCCTTGAACATTACCAGGGATGGAACATTCACCTGTTCCAGTGGCTCACCACCCTATGTCCTGTGCATACATAGCTTTTGAAGATACTGCAAACTTCTTTTAACCCTCTTCAGAGAGAGTGAAAAGTTCTTACAGGTATTAAAATAAAATGGAAGTAGGTTGAGCTGTGTGCTACAAAGCACTTTCTTTCTCTTTTGACTTTTTAGAACATGCTTTGGGACTTCTAGCTTTTAAATAAACTGTTGTGTAAACTTTGAATAAACCCTTTCTTCACTTCTGTTTCTTTGTAATGCTGTAGGTGTTCGAGGTATGGCCTTGTTCTTCCATTCTCATTCCTGCAACAAGATTTGCAAAAGTATGGGGCTTGCACCATTTGATCTTTCATCCAAAGAGAAGGATGCCTTGGATTGTAACAGAAAATTGCTTGTAAGTGCTTGATGCAAAAAGTGTAGCTAAGCAATATAAGTGGTTTATTCTGACATTAAAAGCACTGTAGATAAAACTGAAATGTGCTATTTGCATGGCAAATAAAACCACCTGAATCACTAATATTGCAGTTTAAAGCTGACTTATCCATAGTTGTCTCTGAATTAACACTGTAGTTTTACTTAATAGGGAACTTTATAACACATGTAATTTAGGACCAAGTATATCTTTGAATGCAGAAATCATTAGAAAGTTTGGTATCTCACAAACCTAAGTTGGAGAGAATAGAAAGAAAAGAACTGCTCATCTTTAACTGATCTCGGTTTCAAATGGTATTAGTGGGAGTGGGATTTGATGAAATGCTTTGAATAACATTCTGTCCTAAACAGAACTCCCTCTAACTGTAACAATGCCAGGACTTGGTATTTTGTTAGGGTGTAGAACTTGTCAAAGCAAATAGTTATGTATAAATGTGCATATTTATACACCTTCTTTTGTAGAGAACTCCTAATAAGCATTCACACTGTCTTACGTAGCGTGCTTAGAATACAGAGAAGCATTATTCATGGGATTTTTCTTGTTAATTTGCCAAGGAATCCGCTCAAACAATTCTCCGTGGCACAGAGGAAAAGTGTGGCAGCAGCCGGGTGAGGACGCTCTCTGGTAGCCGACCCCCTCTGCTCTTCCGCCTGTCTGAGAACTCTGGAGATGAAAGCATGAGTGATGTAGCATTTGACTCTCTGCCCTGCTCTCCTTCCTCAGCAACCCCTCACAGCCAAAAGATGGACATGCTTTGTGAGTGAGCCTCATACATAATTTCCTTGGGGTGGTCCTGAACATATGACAGTGACTTGTTTTGTTTTATTGGTTTTAAACACAACAACATGTGGTGTCTAGTCCAGAATACTTGTCTCTGGCATTCCTCTTGGAGTGGAAATAAAACCAAAAGTACTTTCGTGTAGATAATTAATGCACAGATGCTTCTATGCAAAGACTGTGGTAAAATGATAGTGTTCAGATTTTTCTCCTCAAGCATGTTATCCTTACAATTAGAAACAAATATTTTTCTTTCTAGGTTGGCCTGTGTTCAATGAAGTAGATAACCTTGTTCACAAAGACTATGATCAGCTTGATAACCAAAGGGTGAGTATCTGTCCAACAGAGAATGAAATTGCAGTTCCTCAATGAATGTGTCTTTAAAGGACTGCCTGAAGACTTTGTTCAGTTAGAGCACATAAAGTCACTCTGCCAGTTTTCACTGCTGCAGGTCACGTTATCTGCATTTGCTGTTTCTAGTAAAGGAAGAACATGTTATTTTAAAATAGTACTCATTATTTTTTTTCCCCTCCAGGTATTTAATTACGTCTGATGTATTTTGACAGATAATTAAAGTGTCTGTTCCCCTGCCAGCGTGTTGTGTCTTTGGCACTTGTGCCAAAGCTAAACAGAATCCCCATTGATTAAGTCTCCGCAAATACTGGTACTGTGGGATACTAAAGAGTCTCACTGAGGAGACTGCAATAAGTTTGCAATGGGAATTTTCCAACACTAGAGCCTTAGTACCAGGGGATGTCATTTACTGTTTTATCTTTTAACTGGCTGCCACTGAAGACTGAAAACTATATGAAGTGGAATCTTGATTTGATAAAGTACATGAGTCCTGGATTTTTTTGTGTGTTTCTAAGAACACAGAATTGGCAGTACCTTCGGGACTATGAAGTCCTGTTCTGTCTGTTAGAGGTAGGGCACCATACAGTCATCCAGTATATCTTTCCAACATATTGAACCAGCAGCAGGTTTCCTCTGGGAAACGTCAAGTTGAGATCCTTACAAAGATTAATGTTAACGCTGTGATGTTTTGTTCTGTTCTTCTGTAGGATTGTGAAAACGGTGGAGACAGTGGATATCCCAGTGAAAAGAGAAGTGAGCTAGAAGATCTGGATCATAGAGAGAGGGTAAGAACCTGACTCTGTTTTTAGCAGAGCTGGGCCTGTTCATACTTGAATTGTTTCCATAGAAGAATCTTATCTTTTATTCCTTTTTGATCTAAACTTTGTAGAAAAAGGAAACAATTGTAAAGAAATTCCCACATGTTGTGGAATTACTTATCTTGAGAACGTTAGTAATACTTTAACAAGAAAAAGACCATTTGTGATGAGGAGACGTTCCATTTGATTGAATATTCTTGTGGGGGTTTTTAAGTGTTCTGTATTGCATTTGAGAAATGTAGCCAGCTGCTTGTCATATGGAATCCATAAATTTGTTCTGTATTCACTCTTCTACCCTCTCTACTTTCTGTGACTTTATGTGGCTTGTGATATTACAGAACTTAATGTTGCTGTCAGTTAATAATATGCAACTTTAGAATTCCTGTGGCTTAACGGTTACTCCTTTAAAATACAAACTTTTAAGTAAATGCTCTTTTGACCTGAAGATCTTGATCACATCTTTAGTTAGAAGATAGGAAAGAGAATGCTGCTTCCAAAGATACCACTCCGTTTGTCACCTTCGAAGCAGGAAGGTGTTTGTCATGGGATACCCAGTTTCCAGGATTGAAAACTGGGTGTACCGTATGCACACCATTTCAGTACGCTTCTTTGTATGTTGTGGTATCACTGAGAGAAAAAAAATTCAGTGGAAGCTATTTTGGTCATTGTCAATATGAATTTTGCTGGCTAGGAATAGTCTAGAGGGGTAAGTGGCACACATTAGTTGCTGCAAATTAAACGATGCAAATCTTTACATTAATGTAGGGCCATTCAAACAACAACCGAAGACATGAATCTGATGAAGACAGTTTGGGAAGCTCTGCAAGGGTAAATAATGCAGAAATACTCATAGACTATAAGTTTGGCACTGTGCTTGTCCTTTTTTCCACTGCCATCTGACTTCACATCACTAATTCAGATATAATTTTTTTTTCCTTTTCAGCTACATAATGTTTATTAATATTAACTTACCACTCTGTTGTTTCCTTTTTTTGTTTTGTTTTTTATTTTCCATTTAAAGAAGTATCATTACAAACCGTTTGTCACCTCTGTAACTGATCCCTGACATAAATTAGTGATTACGCATAGATTTATCACTTAAAAAAATAATTACAGTTCTGTGGTGGTTTTTTTTTCTGCCTACCTAGATTGTATTTCCTTTCTGCACTTTATTTTTGGAACTGTATTCCATATGTGGTTGGATGATTGTTTAAAAACATGCAGTGTTTTGAAACACATGCTCTCTCTACTGTATTTCTAACTCGGCTAGGGAAAACGAGGCCTTCTTGTGTGTTTTACAAAGTAACAGCTTCTGTGATTTCTGTGGCTATAAACTTAAATAACTCTATTAAAACCTATGGGTTTATATGTTTTGTGCGTGGATAAAACTCAGTGTTTGCAGTATGACTGGTTTGGGTGTTTATTTTTGTAAGTACCTTTTTTTCTGATTCAGAACTTAAAGATCGTGCTTTGCTTCACTGCTGTCATTTATGGAAGATGATTGATGTAGAGATTAGAAAAAGAGGGCTTTACTCTGTTTATTTAATGAAGAATAGTAACCATTTTTTTAGCTACAAACATGACTTTTGAAAGCCATGTCTTGTATTAGAGTATTTACTAGTAAGTAATAACATTAATGGTAGCTTTGTTTTCTGGATGGTAATCCATTTGAGTAGTATGGAAATTTTAATTATAGGTAAAATAACCGTACATTCCTATTTCAGATCAGTGTGGAGAAACTGAATCTGTACAACTCTAGAAGAGTCCACATCCACAGACCATCCTGTGTTGCCCAAGAAATTCAGAGGCTCAATGCACTAGAACTTGAAAAGAAAATTGGGAAGTCCATCCTTGGGAAGGTAGGATGGGTCTAGTAATCTTCTTTCCAACTGGAAAGAGGTATCTTGCATTTATTATTTATATGGAGGTGTTGCCCTGCATGAGTTATTTGTGCAGGTGAAAACAAATAACATGTCTATAGCTTTCTGTCACCTAGTCATATTTTTATAAGGGAGATCTAAGCCTAGGAACCCATGAATTCCATCTGCTTTTGGACATACAACATCTGGGTTCTTTTGGGAAGGACCCTGCTATTGGTTCATCTGCCTTTCCCAAGGCATCACACGGAGAAGATACACTGGGACAGATATGATGTGCCTGACCCACATATCTTGCAAATAGGCAGGATTGGGCTTCTGAAAAATGGCAGCATGGACCAACTCTTTTTTTTTACTCTAGACTATCCCATAAAATGTAAATGTGAATTAAGTTTGGGTTTATGTATGGACTTAAGTCCACACTCGAAGCACCCAGTGTAGATCTTTGTGAACATCGTGAAAGCCTCATATGTTCTCAGACCTTTTAGTTTGAGAAGAAACCTGTCCCTCCTTAAGGAGGGAAGATTAAAAAACCCTCAAAATCCTATAGTATGTTTGGAATAAAATCCTTCCCCCGCAACAGTAATTACTTCAGTGGCATGAGGATTTTCCCCTGGATAACCTTGATGTTTTTATTTTTTTTATGCTTCAGGTCAGTTTTTTTTCTTGTGATGGCCATTGCTGTACATAAAGCCTGTGACCTATGTTCACTGCCGTTTGCCCTGCTGGCTGTTGTGTTAGGCAGTTGCAGGCTGGGTGCCTTTAACTATGACTCCTTCCGAAAGGTCTCCAAGTCCCAAGGAGATATGCTGGGCCATGCCCCTGAGATCTGGTGTTCTGGTGTGGCAACCTGCTGGTATGCTGTTTAGGGCACTACTCTTAGTAGTCAGGTTTATAAAGCTGTGTGTCTAAACGTACAGAACTGGAGAGGCAGCTGCACTGCATGTAATCATCACTTTTTGCCTGTTTAATCTGTTCAGGCATAAATCGGGATCCAAGTCTGTGTTACCAGACTAGTCCTCTGCTCAGTCAGAGGTACATGATTAGACTTAAGTAGTCACCTCGGAGAAGTATTTTTGTGCCTAAGTGTGGGCATAGGGCTCCTGAAGGATCGGGTCTATACTTAGTACTTGTGTCTCCTTTACAATTGTGTTCTAGGTTCATTTGGCCATGGTTCGCTATCATGAAGCTGGGCGTTTCTGTGAGAAAGACAAGGAATGGGATCAGGAGTCAGCCCTGTTTCACCTGGAGCATGCTGCAGACTGCGGGGAGCTGGAAGCCATCGTTGGGTTAGGACTCATGTGCGCTCAGCTGCCACATCACATTCTTTCTGAGGTCACTCTTGAGGTAAACAGATCAAAGAAAATGCCAAAATGTAGAATTGTGGTCCATTGTAGAAATAATATAACAATAGCAGGAAATAGACAAAATAATAACCACAATTAGGTGTTCTGTAGTCTCTTCAGAGAAAATAAATGATGTTGTAATTAAGGACTTGGGCAAAGCAGCAAAAAAATGCTGCCTGTTTCTGCTTTTGCTAGCTGATTACTGCATACCTTTGGGAAGTTTCTAAAGTGATCTTTACTATTCAGCTTCAGTTTCTTTTGGCTGGGCCTCTTTCTCAGACATACTAAATATATACTATAATATATATTATAGCCATTACTGACTTGGAGAAACTGCATTTAGTGTTAGAAGAAGGAAGAGGTAGTTTTACTTAGAAACATGCATTTTAAAGGTTTTGTTTGTTTTACTAGGACACAAAGGAAAACAGGAATAAAGGATTTGATTACTTGCTGAGAGCAGCAGAAGCTGGAGACCGACCTTCCATGATTCTGGTAGCAAGAGCATATGATACAGGTGTAAATCTTGGTTCAGACAGGTACTGTGCATGACTGAGTAACTTGGTGGAAACTCCACTGAGGGGGGAGGGCAGTCAGAGAAGCACTTGCTGTGTGTCTTTCATTCACGTAAATAACTGTTATGTCAAAAGTAATGCTATGAAGTAGTGTGTTGGAGTTACTTCAAACTTGAATTACCCAGATGTGAATAAAATACTGAACATACTTGAAAATCCTGGGATCAGTGGAAAAAAACAAACACAGGAGTTCTTTTGGAGATGTAGTACCCTAAAAGTAAGTTAAAAGTGTTTACAACTGCCATGTGTCCTCCTTCATGATTTTTTGAAACCACTTTTTTTGCTGTGAAAGAAGCTGGGGGACAGGAGAAATAGGTGCAGCCTTAAAGTGACTATAGATAAGATGCAGTCAGATGAATGAAGTATCTGTCATAGTTGTAGTCTTTCGCTGCTGCTCGTAATAGAAGTAGGAATGGAAATCTCAGAGGAACGTGGTCTTAATGCTGAGGATGTTACTTTTAATTAAGGATGATCCTAAGTTTTAAGAAGTTTGAAAATGCTTTTACGTCATTAAGTTGCTTTTGATTTGGCCAGCACTCCTACCTTGACAGGAGCAGTATTGTGACTCAGAACTAGATTGTGACTTGCTGAAAGGCTATGCAATATGTTGGTTTGAGAATTTTTTTTTTTCTAGCATTTTAGGTGAGTTTCTAAGAGTGGATGTGTATTAATTTTGTTAAGTACTAAATATACCAGGTGATGATAATGACTTTTCTGCTTTTGCAGTGTAACACGTCTTTGTTATTTACATGAGAGTGTTCTGGTTTGCACAACACTGAAACTCTTAGCAGTGGTGAAATTTAAAATGACATTAAACTTCTCACTGAAATGCACTGAGCAGTCTCAATTGCTGCTTTTAAAATATTTACGAAACAAGACTCTCTGCAACTTCGGATTATTTCTAAATCAGTTATTGTCACAAATATAAATGCCAAAACAAAAACACACAACCAGTAAGGAAGCTCAGACAAGGAAGGCACTCAGTCTGACACTTTCTTCTCTGTAATTACTGCATAAAGTGGCCCCAGCCTTGTTTTGATATAGTGACCTGATGCTGCTGTGCAGTTAGTGAGCCTGCATGAAAATATTTGTGTTCTTTGAGAGCTTTAAGGATTGGAGAAGCTAGTGCAAAACTAGCACTGACTCTCCAGTGCGAAGTACATTTGTTTCGTACTGTACCTGTCTTCAAAATGTGTTTTTAACTTCAGAGTACAGGATTGGAAGGAGGCACTGTACTGGTACAATGCTGCACTGAACATGACTGACTATGATGAGGGAGGTGAATATGATGGCACTCAGGATGAGCCCCGGTATCTGCTCCTGGCAAGGGAAGCAGAGATGTTAATGACAGGAGGGTTTCACCTGAATAAGGATCCACAGAGATCAGGTGAGTCCCTATTTTGTTTCTGTAATCAGTAATCCTGCTTTTCGTTCCCCTTTCCCCCAGCATGTACCCCAAAAATACATTAACTGTTTCAGCTGTTAGAAAACATATTGAGGATCAGTATCCTCAGATGTGTGGCTGAAGCTGTAATGATGCTGGGTGATGCAAGGCTGGAAAGAGATCTTGCCAATGATAGTAGTAGGCGGTGCCAGGTCCAAACCTGTGACACACTGAGTCACTAGCAGGCAACTTTCACTCTATGTCAGGCCACTGAACTGCAGGTTGCTGCTTGTATTTTGAGTTACACCCATGATTCCCAGGCCCCACACAGCTTTGGTTTAGTTGTGTAATCTACGTGTCATGTATCTAAGCCCTAGAGTTGTCTTGGAGGATCCTACAGGCCAGTTGTATTTCCAGACCTTCCAAATACATTGAAGAGCCATCAGCAGCCACTCATATAAGAAAAGCCAGATTTCCAGCTAATGTAACTCTACTGACACGATTAAAATAGACCCATACATCCAGCCCTGTAGTTTGACTTCAATTTCTGGTTTTATCCTTTAATTGCTTCAGGATAAAGAGATGTTTTTTCTTTACCCTGTCAACACAACTGATCCTATTTCCTCTTCTAGGTGAGCTGTACACCGAAGCAGCAGAAGCAGCAATGGAAGCTATGAAAGGCAGACTGGCAAATCAGTACTACCAAAAAGCAGAAGAGGCTTGGGCGATGATGGAAGAATAACAATGCAATTAAGCAGTTCTTGTATATAATTATTTTATAAACTTGCTGCATTTGCAACTAAAAAGATGTATTTTTATGTGGTGTTACCAGTTTCTTTTTTGGTATTTTAGTTTTCTAATTTTTATTTTTGAGGGGGAAAATGCAATTGTAAGGGGTGTGTCCGGTGTCATAGCTTAGCTGGTGTTTGAAAGCTGTAATACAGGCACACTTGACCTTTTGTATTCTTTTAACTGTTAGAACTGAAGGGCCTGATTGTTTTGTTTAGGTTTCAGATGTCATTTTTACACAGCAAATGTTCAGTATGTTTACATTTTTCTTCTGCTTTTCACACATGGAAAAAAACATTTTCCTAAATTCTCAGCATTTCTTCTTCATTTCTGGTGTCTCTCACTAAATTTGCATGTGAATGTAAATTTTCAATTTAAGCATGCAGCTACTCATTTTAATAAGTAGTCCCACTCTTTTCCACTGGTGTTGTGGGCACTTCCGTTACTCTTCTGAAATGAATTCCAGGTAGAATCCTTACAGCGTGGGGAGGGGCAGGGAAGGTGCTTCTGATTGGCAATGAGGATATTCAGGGTAGAATATGTTTTATTCACTAACAACATTGCATATTTTACCATCAGAAAATGGCTGATGCTCCTGATGAGGTGACTGTCAGCACCAAATAATAACCTAGTTACATAAAATTCTACTGATCTTCTGTGATATTTGTCCAGTGATGTACAGTAGCAAGATCTGCAATATATGGATAACTTGAAGTTATTTTTACAGTAACATCTCAATTCTCAGTGAAGCTAGATCATCTCAATTAAAGTGAAAATACACCTTCCACCATTTCTGGAGGGAGTTTTGAAAAGGTTAGAGGCTGTTAATTTACCTGTTTTTATGTATAGAAAATAATTTGTTTCAGATAGCTTTTAAAATAGTGTTTTATCTGTGAATGGTTTCAAATGCCAGTTAGAGAAAATTGCTGGTTGAAAAGAGAAAACAGTATTATCCCCATACACTTGATTTTCTGTGTCCTGTTTGCATAACCCTAATCAGTAACAGGAGGACAAATAAATGGTGGTAATTGAATTACCATTGTACAGAGATAAATTTCTTCCAAATCCAGTGTTTTATTCTAAAGCTGTTGTGCCATCTGTACAGTTAGTACAAAAGCTGTTTCTATTTCTTGGTCATGGTTTACACTCATTTTGCAGGAGATTAAGATGGAAGCTTCTCAGCCTTACAGCCTCCTGAGGGTGTAAATTGATATGAATAAGGAGCAGCCCCTCTGAAGTGCTGAATGACCAGTAATGTTCACCAGCCTCACTTAGCTAAGCTTTTAAAAGCATGCTTAAACTAAGCAGGGTGCTAGATGATGCAGTTGATTTCATTGGGATTTCTTGCATGCATAGCCAAGTAATATTAATTTCTTGTAAAATGTAGAAACCATTGGAGGAACAGAAATCAGTTTGTCCTTTCCTGTGCAAGTGCCTGTCATTGGGCTCCAAAGTTGCGCTCCCCATTTACTCTCTCTGTCAAATAGATCATAGAATCACAGAATGGTCTCAGTTGGAAGGGACATTAGAGATCATCTAGTTCCAAACCCCTGCCACCAGCCAGGACACCTTCCTTTGAACACCTTTGGACTTGATGATCTTAAAGGTCTTTTCCAGTCAAATCAATTCTATGATTCCACCAGACCAGGTTGCTCCAAGTCCCATCCAACCTGGCCTTGAACTGCCAGGGATGGGGCAGCCACAGCTTTTCTGGGAACCTGTGCCAGTGCCTCACCACCCTCATAGCGAAGAACTTCTTCCTAATGTCTAATCTAAATCTAACATCTTCCAGTTTAAATCTTCTGTTCCCCCAAGTCCTATCACTATGTGCCCTTGTAAAAAGTCTCTCTCTGTATTTCTCATATCTTGAATTGTCGTTTAAACAATATTCAAGCATGATGTTAGTGTCTGAAAGAGGCGGTATCCTGGTGGTTAAGGACATGAGATGGGAAGATTTGAATCCTTTCTGGGAGAGAAGGAAAAGTTATCCTTGGATGTTGTACTTCTGGGTGGATGCTGTTACCCCAGGCAGCTGTAGCTATGAGTAGCCTTGCGACAACATGGCCACATTTTCTTGCATATGGTCTTTCTATTTTGGTTTTGTTTTATTGTAAAGGTGAAGCTCTTCACCCACTAATGGAGGAAGGTTTAACTTCTAGATCTCAATTTGACTTAGATTTTTTGACCTAATAAGCTGAAATAGAACCAGAGTTTGTAGGATCTCAAGTCAGATGGATGGTCTAAGTGCCTAGCCAAAGTTCTGCTTTAGGTGCCTAAAGCCTCTTGGATGTGGCCTTTTTGCTCTTCAGTTCATAACATGAAAATACCAGCTTTTAATGGCTTTTAATGAAGGATGAAGGTGCCATTCCCCTCTGGAGACAGCTGAATAGTAACTGTTTTGTGCAGAAATGATATGGTGTAGACATTATAACAAACTCAGACAGAAGGATTTGTTTTCCTCGTAAGGTGTTGCTGCCAAGTCTTTGAGATCTTGCTTGAGAAGGAAGCACGTGTAACAGCAACAACCACCATGTAGGGAACAGAGGAAATTTGAGTTTGCCCATCCAAAACGTGTACATAAAGGGCATAGAGTGTAATTATTGGCACTTTTTGATGTAGTTTAATTTGCTAAATTCAGTAGTTGCTGACAGTTCTCTGTAGATCTGTTATGTAAATGTGGACACAGCTCAGTGGAAAGATTATGATGATTAATTCTTTGTGGCAAATACTACTTTTTTAGTGATGCAGACTACCTTCTGCCCGAAGGTGGTATCATATTTTTTAGCTGTACAATAAATGGAATTCACAGATAATTTGCAAATGGAAAATGTTTACAGAAATATGCACAACTTCTTCTATGACATTCTTTGGAAGAGAAAAACTATGTATTTGACAGACTCTTGGAATGATATTGCTATAATGCTGTATTTTTAATCTATTCACAATGAATAAATAAAAATCTTGTATTTTTAAAAACTGTGAAAATAAATCTGGGGGTCAGCCTGCCAGAACTTACATGGGTTCAGTGTTTCCAGATGGCAGTGGAAATATTGCCTGGGTAAGGAAAGGGAGGTGGAAGCCTTTGTTTGCCTGTCAGACATGCAAATACCAATCGCCTGCATCACTTAGTCCTCTCATTGACTTTGTCTGGTTTCATTCTGGCTGGTCAATAAAGCTATTCTTTTTGTCACTTTTTTCAGTAGAGTTTTAGTTACTGCATGCAGGGGGCCGGTTTTGTGTTTTCCTTTATAATCTGCCTAAATTCAATCTTACTATTGCAAGCTTCCAGAAGCCCTCTGTGGAGTTTTAATTCTTTCATCTCTGATTTCATTTGCTTTTAACAGTCAAAAGTAACTAACTGGAGAGAATAACTAGATGTATACCTGCAAAATCTGTTTTCAAGAAAACTTAAATGGTTGATGTGCTTTTTTATTTCCATTCAATTACTTATGCATTTCTGTAAGTGATATGGCAGATGTAAGGACTGAAGTGTTCCTTTGCAGGACTGCTGTAGAGGCATCCTTACACCTTCAGTCTTTGGTCCTTCTAAAAGAATAGAAATACCTGGCCGCTTACGATTTGAGGTGGGGGAGTTTTTTGTCACAGCTACAATATCTAATACCATGCTGTTATCTTCACTGTGGTTTATTCCCCTTTCTTTTCAAGAATAAACTGATACTGGCCCTTTTAAGCTATTAAAAATGGAGCTCTTAATGTTGCTTTTTTATTGCTTTATTTAGACAGGTATAATTTTTTATACCTGTATAGACTAAACAATGTGAAACTGTTCTGTAGCAAAGGCACTTTGAAATAGCAGAATCTCCTAACAAAAAAGGGCCTCCTTACTCCAGTGTCACTAAGGTGAAAAACGGTGACATTTGGTACTTTAGCTATAGCTGCTGTAACTGAGAGATGGAGTGTTTGGGAGGTGTAACAAAGGAAGTGGAATAACCATCCATCAGGCAGCATAGGGACAGCCAGAATTTACAGCTCGTAAAGTGATATTGCCTGTTTCTTCATTATTGGTTTATGGGACTGATTCGAATCTCTCTTCCCCACAGGTATGCTTTCACTTCTGAGAGCAGAATGACTGCTGACAGACACAGGTGTAGTTTAGGTAGGCCAAATCAGGCTTTCTCATCTTAATTTTAAAAGGGAGGATTTCACTGGAACCTCAGATTGGATTCAGGGCCAGTGCTCCTGGTGGTGAGTCAGGCTCTGAGCAGGTTTAAGTTCTGGGCATCTGTCATGTGCCTCCTACTACTGGGGACCTGAATACCTCATGGGGACAGATCATGGGTTCGTAACCATTGGGCCTGGTTCTTGGTCTGGACCCAGTTGATACAGATGTTGGCTCCTTGCCGTTCTCTGGCTAACTCCTGTGCCAGAGAAGCAATACAGTGAGACTGATAGAAGTTCACTCTGTTTTTAATTTGGAAAAGGTCCTGTAGTTATCTTTGCACTGGTAAAATGAGAACCCTGGTGACCCAACTGCCAGCCCCAAGGGGCAGCCTGTGCTCTTATCCCCTGTAAGTGCCACTCATGGCTGACTTGAATACTCTTGGGTGCACAGGCTTCCTCCAGCGGTGAGGAGAAGCATTTCTGTGGCCAGACACAAACATTTCCAGGGCAGAGGCTGAGCTCATCCGTGGAGGGGCACCCATCACTTCTCTGGGAGGGTGTTGGTACTTCTCACTGCCTGGGCAAAAGGACTGGTGAGGCTGAGCAGCTTTTGTAATAAGAAAACCACTTTTAAGATGTGTGCTATGCAGCTTCTCACATGCATTATCTCCCCCCCATCAAAAGTGCAGTGCTGCGGCTGGTACCCCATGTCCATGCTGCCTGGACAAGAGCTTAGAGACTGCTAAATGAGACTCTTTCCCTGACCTTTTCTGTCTGAACAGAAGTTTGCTGTGTGAAGCCAATTGAGGTCTGCTCCTCCCAAACCTCTCCTGCTTTTCTGCAGCCAGGGCCGTGGGAGGAGTCAGTTCCCTCTGTTCTTAGAAAATCCTGCATCCGTCTGAAAAGG